TTTCATTTTCCCCCCTGGAAATGTGACTGTCAATCAGAGTGAATTTTTTTTTTTTAATTTCCTTTTTCCTCATCGCACGACGAAAAAACGATTAATTTGTTTGCCTATTGAAGAGAAGTAAATTTGACGTTCGTTATAATCACCACTTCATTTGATCAATCATTTTCAATGTGTGTGTGATTTTTTTATATTATTATCGAAAAAGTGAATATTACATTAATAAATTTTTCTTCACTATTTTTTTTTGTAAAATATTTTATAATTTTTTTTCCCTATCGAAATAATAACCAATCAATTTTTGAAAAAAAACAAACGAAAAAGAGATGTAAAAAATTTATTAAAGGAAAAATAATAGAAAAATAATTTTTGTTTTTCAAATCGAGAATGTGAGAAGGTTTTTTTTTTTTCTTTATAAATTGACGAACAAAGGGCAATCTTTATAAAAAGAGAACTGCTTTAGTCACAGAAAGCTACCTGAGGGTCTTCAAAAATTCAGGGTTCGACCCACACATACACAAATAGGAATTTAACTGTGTGTGTTTTTTTTGGGACAAATTCCGTTTCTCAGATTCTTAAAACGAATCTGTTTTCTTTAAAATGTTTAGTTTTTTTTTATTAATTTTACAAAATGTTAATATTAACCCTCATATAATTGATTAAAATGCGATTTTCTCCGAAATTTTTCTTCCTATGTAAAAATTTTTCATACAAAAAAAGGTGTGCTTCGATGAGATCTACAAATTTTTTTAAGTACATTTTTGCAAATTTTTGATATCTTTAGTAAAAAAAACACAAAAAACGGTTATTATTGGAGTTTTGTTGGAATATCACTAAGAAAATTCAAGTTTTCATGGACTTTCAGTAAGAAAATTTACATGATTTTTTGCCCTAATGAACGTAGTTTATTTAAAAATATTTTTCAAATTAGATTTTTCTTCTAAAATTCTGATTAACCCCATAAAATTGCTTAAATCGTGATTTTCTCAAAAAATTTCGCATCTTACGTAAAAATGTTATATACAAAAAATGTGTATTTCGATGAGATCTACAACTTTTGTATAATACATTTTTGCAAATTTTTAATATCTTTAGTAAAAAAAAACGCAAAAAACGGTTATTATTGGGGTTTTGTTGGAATATCACCGTAAAAAATCAAGTTTTCCTGGACTTTAGGCATGAAAATTCACGTGGTTTTTTGCGCTAATTAACCTAGTATATTGAGAAATATTTTATAAATTAGTAATTCCCTTTAAAATCGTGATTAACCCCATAAAATTGTTTAAATCGTGATTTTCTCAAAAAATTTCGCATCTTACGTAAAAATTTCGATAACAAAAAATGTATATTTCGATGAAATCTACAACTTTTGTATAGTACATTTTTCAAAATTTTTAATTTCTCTAGTAAAAAAACACAAAAAACGGTTATTATTGGGGTTTTGTTGGAATATCACCGTAAAAAATCAAGTTTTCCTGGACTTTAGGCATGAAAATTCACGTGGTTTTTTGCGCTAATTAACCTAGTATATTGAGAAATATTTTATAAATTAGTAATTCCCTTTAAAATCGTGATTAACCCCATAAAATTGTTTAAATCGTGATTTTCTCAAAAAATTTCGCATCTTACGTAAAAATTTCGATAACAAAAAATGTATATTTCGATGAGATCTACAACTTTTGTATAGTACATTTTTCAAAATTTTTAATTTCTCTAGTAAAAAAACACAAAAAACGGTTATTATTGGGGTTTTGTTGGAATATCACCGTAAAAAATCAAGTTTTCCTGGACTTTTAGTATGAAAATTTACGTGGTTTTTTGCCCTTAATAACGTAGTGTATTTCAAAATATTTTTTAAATTTTATTTTCCCTCAAAATTGTGAACTTATAAAATTGCGTGATTTTCTCAAAAATAATTATTTATTCTCAGTTTAGAATATTTTTTCTTAAGAATTTTTATTTTTTTATGTTTTTTTTTAATATTTATCTTTTATTTTTCATTGTTAAAAATTTTTTTTTTTCTCTAACTCTGTTATATTTTTTTTAACTTTATTTTTGCATCGCAAATTAAAATTGCAAAATATTTATAAAATTTCCCCGGATACATTTTCGAACGTTTCATTTCCGTTACGGTTCATTTTCCATCTCTCTATTCTCTATTTCTGAGTCTTTTATTCTTCCGGCGGCTCCAGATGTGGAATTTTTACAGTGTCCCTGACGAGATTTCTCTCTCTCTCTCTCTCTCTCTCTCTCTTTGACGATGGTTTCGTACAAGGTTCCACGCGCATTAAAGGTGAAAGGTCCCTCTTTTCGTCTCAACTTGAAAAGCGAAAATCTTCAGCCAAATAAAAATTGTCGACAAAAAAAAATTCATAGTTATGTACAGATCACTTGAAAAAAACTATGTTAATAATTTTTTTTGTTCTGAAATTTCCCTAATAGAATATAAAAATTCTCAACAAAAAAAAAAATATATTTTATACGATTAATTTATTAATTTTTTTATATATAATATAATTAATAATAATTATAATACATCAATTTAATTTTTTATTAAAATATTATTTTTAGTTTCAATTTAAAAAATTTATAAACTATTTTTTTATTAATTTAAAAGTTTTAAAAGTTTATATAAATTTTTTTTTTTTTATTATTTTAATCTAGTTTTGATATTGAAAATTCGTCGAATTTATTATTGAGATAAAAAAAAAAAGTTTTGACAAAAAAATATTTTTGCAATTTAAAATTTAGAGGGAAAAAAAAAGAAAAAAAAATTAATTGACTTCACTTTTATTAAACTATATATATATATACTGATTCTGAAATGTCGACGGAATCCCATTGAAATAAACTTTGCAATAAGGTTTATCGTTTTACGCCTACAATTACTCAAGAGATCTAGAATTGCTAAGTTTAGATAAAGCAAATTGGATACGGTCGCGATAAACTTAGTAGCTCAGCGAGAGATAAATTATATATAGGTATATATTTTACTTTTAAAGTAAATTTTTCATCTCTACTAATTCCTCTCTTCTAATATCATCAAATTCTACATTATTTATTATATTTTATTGTTATCAAAATATAATAATATTAATAATAATAATAATAATAATAATAATAATAATAATAAAACGAGAAAATACCAAGTTTGGTTTTCCCCTGTTTATCTTTACATCAAATAAATCGATTATATTTACGTAATAAATAAAAAAATTTTAAGTAAAATGCAGAATTTTCGAAGAAAATCAAAATTTAAGTAATTTAATTGGGGTTAATCACGATTTTAATAGAAAATTAATTTTTTTTAGAAAATATTAAATAGACCACGTTAATCAGCTCAAAAATTTACGTTAATTTATGTATTAAAACTCTAGGAAAATTTTAATTTTATCGGTGATATTCCAACAAAACTCCCATAGTAGCCGTTTTTTGTATTTTCTAACTACAAATATTAAAAATTTGCAAAAATGTACTCAACAAAATTTGTCCAAATCATCGAAATAAACATTTTTTGTATTAATAATTTTTACATAGAAAGTAAAATTTCTGAGAAAATCACAATTTAAGCAATTTTATGAGGGTTAATCGTGATTTTGAGGGAAAATCTAATTTGGAAAATATTCTTAAATAAACTACGTTAATAAGGGCAAAAAACCACGTGAATTTTCATATTGAAAGTCCAGGGAAACTTAATTTTTATCAGTGATATTCCAATAAAACCCCCATAAAAAGTGTATTTTTGTGTTATTTTTATTTCAGATTTGAAAAATTTTTCAAAAATGCACTGAACTTTGTCAATCTCATCGAAACACACATTTTTTGTATTGAAAATTTTTACATAGGAATCAAAATTTTTGAGAAAATTGCAATTTAAGCTATTTTAAGAGGGTTAATCACGATTTTCATAGAAAATTGAATTTTTTAAAAAATATTAAATACACTACGTTAATTGGGGCAAAAAACCATGTGAATTTTCATACTGAAAGTCCAGGGAAACTTAATTTTTATCAGTGATATTCCAATAAAACCCCCATAAAAAGTGTATTTTGGTGTTATTTTTATTTCAGATTTGAAAAATTTGCAAAAATGCACTGAACATTGTAAATCTCATCGAAACACACATTTTTTGTATTGAAAATTTTTACATAGGAATCAATATTTTTGAGAAAATTGCAATTTAAGCTATTTTAAGAGGGTTAATCACGATTTTCATAGAAAATTGAATTTTTTTTAAAAATATTAAATACACTACGTTAATTGGGGCAAAAAATCACGTAAATTTTCATACTCGAACGTTCAAAAAAAAATTGAGTTTTATCAATAAAAATTAAAAAAAAAAAAAAAATGATGATGGAATGTAATTGTGATAATTTCTGAAATATTCCCCTATCTTTGAGACAATAAAAAATTTCCTGAATTCATTAATTGAAAAATAAAAATATCGTCTTTCTGATAATTCACAAAAACAGACCTCGTGTTTGTTAGTGTAGCCACGTGCTCTTGAAGCGATTGAAATGACGTCACAAACTTTGATAAACATTGCTCAATATTATCAATGAAAAGAGGAAAAATATTATATAGCAAAGATTAAAGACAGAAGAAAAAAAAATTATATCTATGAAGTTTTCTCAAACGGGAAATAATAGAATATAATATACTATAATTTAATAATAATAATAATAATAATAATAATAATAATTATTATTATTATTATTATTATTATTATATTATAATTTTGTTAGAATTTTCTTATTTATATTCATTATTATTATTATTTTTTAATTATTAATATTGTTATTATTAATAACGTTTATGAAAATTATTTTGGAATGAGGATTTGAAAAATTCCCCTCTTTGGAATCTTCACCGTTATTGTGCGGTGTACGAAGAAAGGTCAGGTTTATTTTGGAATCCCATGCCGGGTTCGACGATCCACCACCACTATGAGATGAGCAAAAAGGAAAAAAAAAATAAGAAGAATAAAATCCTCAGCGCTTTACCTCTTAAACACAGAAGAGCTGCAGCAAAAATTCCTCCTTACTTTTTCTTCTTTTTTTTTCTTGTATGCGTGTGTGTGTGTTTTAAAAAGTCCTTGATGAAGTATTTAATAAATTGCACCAAATAATCCTTGTTTTTTTTTTCTTTTTTTAACACCACTTTTCTTTTTGAAAAAAAATTATTGTTTTCAAACACAAAAAATAAAAACACACACACAAAATGCAAATGTCCTTTATTCTTTTACTTTTACCCTGAAAGATAATAAACAAATATGTAAATAAAAACAAAAAAACAATATTATTGATATCAAAAAAATGAATCACACATATACACTCGCGAATGGGAAACACACGCGATTACTATTATTATGAATACTGAAGAAATCAATATATATATATATATATTTGTGTGTGTGTGTGAAAAATATGAGACACGATTTTTTTTTTATTCGTCAATTTTCATAGTTGGGAATATTTGTTATGCTGAGAAAAAAAGAAAAATTTTAAGCCCCTCGTAAAGGGGTTAAAAAAATACCCTGAATTGAAAAAAAACCCTTTTTTGGAGGGTTAAAAAATCCCTCTCCTGGAGGAGTAGAAAATAAAGAGGATTCGCTACTCACTGACATTTTTTTTTCAAATTTAACCCTCTCGTAGGGGGTTAAAAAAAACCCTCGGTTAAAGAAACCTTGGATTAAAAGAAAACCCTAGGTTAAAAAACCATTTTTTTAAGGTTAATAAAATGAAAAGGGGATACATACTTTTTTTCAAAAAAAAAATTTAACCCCCTTGTTGAGGGTTAAATATTCCCTGGGTTAAAAAAACACTGGGTTTAAAAAAAACCCTTTTTTAGAGGGTTAAAAAACTAAAGAATGAATCACTCACACTTTTTTTTAAACAAAAATTTAACCCTCTCGTAGAAAGTTTTAAAAAAACCCTAGGTTAAAAAACACCTGGATTAAAGGAAAAACCCTGAATTAAAAAAAAATCCTTTTTGGAGGGTTAAAAATTTAAGAGAGAGAAATCACTTACACTTTTTGTTCAAAAAAACAATTTAACCCTCTCGTAGAGAATTAGAAAAAACACTGGATTAAAAAAACCCTAGGTCAGAAAAACCCTAGGTTAAAAAAAAACTTTTTGGAGGGTTAAAAAAATAAAGAGAGAATTCACTTTCTTTTGTTTTAATTTAACATTGTCGTGGAGGGTTAAAAAAAACCCTAGGTTAAAAAAACCTTGGATTCAAAGAAAACCCTAGGTTAAAAAACCATTTTTTTAGGGTTAATAAAATAAAAAGGGGATACATGCGTTTTTCAAAAAAAAAAATTTAACCCCCTTGTAGAGGGTTAAATATTCCCTGGGTTAAAAAAACACTGGGTTAAAAAACCCTTTTTTAGAGGGTTAAAAAACCCTAGGTTAAAAAAACCCTAGGTAAAAAAAAACTTTTTGGAGGGTTAAAAAAATAAATAAAAAATAAATAAATAAAGTAAATAAAATAAATATTTATAAAATAAATAATTCACTTGCTTTTGTTTTAATTTAACATTGTCGTGGAGGGTTAAAAAAAACTCCTAGGTTAAAAAATCCCTGGTTTAAAATAACCCTGTGTTAAGAAACACTTTTTTTGGAGGATTAAAAAAATAAAAAAATGGATTCACTACTAATTCAAACACTTTTTTTTTTAATTTAACCCCAACGTAGAGGGTTAAAAAAAAACTCTAGGTTTAAATGCCTTCGAGGTTTAAAAAAAACATTTGGGTTAAAAAAAACCCCTTTTTTGGTGAGTTAAAAAAATAAAAACAGGATTCACTACTGACTCACATTTTTTTTTTAAACAAAAATTTAACCTTTTTGGTAGAGGGTTAAAAAACACCTGGATTTAAAAAATCCTGTGTTAAGAAAAACATTTTTTGGAGGATTTAAAAATGAAAAAAAATCCACTAGTAATTCACAGTTTTTTTTTTTATAAATTTGCACCTTCACGTATGGGGTTAAAAAAAACCCTAGGTTAAAAAGCCACCGGGGTTAAAAAAAACCCTTTGGTTTAAAAAACACCAGGGTTTAAAAAAAAAACCTTTTTTAGATTCACTTCTCACTTACACAATGTTTTTCAAATTTAACCCTGATTATTGAGGATTAAAGAAAACCCCTATGTTTTTTTAAAAAAAAAAAAAACCCTTTTTTGCAGTATTAAAAACAAACACTATTCAAAAATGAAAAAAAAAATTGTAAAATTACCCAAGTCACGTGGTCAGAATTTTTGTGTAATAAAATGGAGAATAGTATATAGAAATGACAAAGAATAAATAGAATTTTTTGAGAAAATAAAAATTTTTCCCCAAGAAAAAAATTCCCTATGGGAGTTAAAATTATTATTTTTTTTTTTGCTCTCGAAATAGGATGTATTTTTTTTTTTCGTGAACACGCCTCACTCTCTCACTCACTCCTTTTCCCTTTGTCTTTGAGGTTAGGTTTCGCGCATCTGGCGTTTCACTGCTTTACCACCGCGAAAGAGAGTGAGAGAGGAGAGAGAGAGAAAGAGAGACAGACACACGCACTCAAATATATATATATATATTTCTGTTGTGTGTGGATATAATATCTTATAAAATTCATTTAATAATCAATCTCCTCACAATTCCAATATTATTATTTTGTTGGTTGGTAATATTTGATGAATAAATTGTTGTTGTTATGTTAATGTAACGATGAATGATGATAAATTGTCAAAATTCAAGAACAACGACAAAAACGACGACGACGACGGCGACGACGACATTGTCGGAAGCTGCGTCCTCATTGACGTTGGGCTTCCGAATCCAATGAGAGAACTATTCTATATACTAGGTTGAAAAAAAATTTGATAACCCAGCCATGCTGGCTGCGCGACCGGCGTCGAACTGTCGTGCAAAAGGAGCCCAGAGAGTGACCGAGAGAGACAGGGAGAGAAAGAGAGAGTCACCGAGTGAGAAGAAGAAGAAACGGGAATGAGAGAGCGAGCAACAATGCCAGAGAGAGAGAGAGAGAGAAATAGTGAAGAGGGAGAGCGCCCGAGAGAGAGGGAGAGAGCAGGGGGAATAGTCTAGAGCGAGCGAGGGAGAAAAGAGTCAGTGAGAGCGAGCGAGAGAGGAAACAAACTGTGAGAGAGACAGAGAGGGAGCGAGAGAAGTAGCAGGAGTGACAGAGAGAGAGAGAGAGAGAGACAGAAAAAGAGTGGGAGCGAGGGCAAGAAGTGGGAGGAATGAGAGAGAAAAAGATAGAGATAGAAAACGATAGAGAGGGAAAAGGATAAAAAGCGAAAAAGACAGAGAGAGGTGTAAAGGACAGAGAGAAAGAGAGAGAGAGGGTAAAGGAAAGAGAGCGAAAGAGACAGAGAGAGGGTAAAGGAAAGAGAGAGGGTAAAGGACAGAGAGCGAAAGAGACAGAGAGAGGGTAAAGGATAGAGAACGAAAGAGAGAGAGAGAGAGACTTTATAGAGAGGGGATGCCGGTTGGTTGGCATCGCCCAGCAGACACTCAATCCCTACCAAGCGTCAGATACCCCCACTCAATAAGAGTGGGTGGCGGGGGAGGGGAGCCGCTCCTCATAAGCGCACCCTTGCGTCGACGCGTACTCCCCTCTCACTATCTCTCTCTCTCTTCCTCATTCTCTCCTTTCCTCCCACCCACACACACACACGAAAGAGCGCTGATCCCGCTTGTATTATACAGTATAGGGGAGACGCACGAGCATTAAGACCTTGCAGGATCGTAGTGAGAGTGACTTGCTCCCTATTCGTTTTACTCACAGGTCTCTTCATGTTTTTTGGCAGGTGACTCGACTATATTCCAGGGATTTTTTTTCTTTTTTTTGCCAATGTGGAATATTTAATCCGTTTTATTTTCTAATTCTAAAATCTTTTTTTTTTTCTTCTGATTAGACAACTTTTTTAATTTTCTAATTCCATAATTTTTTTTTAATCTACTAATTCGTTATTTTTCAATTCCATACATTTTTTTTTTAATCTTCTAATTCGACAATTTTTTTTTATTTTCTAATTCCATCATTTTTTTTTTTTTTTGCTATCTAATTCGACTTTTTTCATCTTGTCATTCTAATTGTTTTTTTATTCTACAATTTTTTAAACTTCTAATTCGATAATTTTTGTTATTTTCTAATTCTATAATTTTGTTATGTTTTGCAAATTCGATTTTCTTTAATTTTCTAATTCCACAATTATTTTTTTTTTTATTTTCTAATTCTACAATTTTCTTTTGTCAATTTTAGCATATATATATATATATATAGATGTTATCATTTTGAATAATATATATTATATACATATATATCCCCTCTCTTTGATGATTAATAGAGATCTCCACACTGCCCCGAAAACCCTTTCCCTTTTGTTTTAGCTGCCCTTTTGATATTACAGTCCAAGCCTATCGTTCCTTCGTTATCCCATTGATCGTTTAAATTGAGATGCATCAAAGTGAAATTGAATGGGCATTGTTTGATAGCCTCATGGATATTAATAGGAATATCATGATCAATGCTTTTATAGAAAAAATATATCACTAATCTATTTTCAACAATCAACATTAGAAAATTCAATTATCGCCAATTATTATTATTATTATTATTATTATTATTATTATTATTATAATTATAATTTTTAAAAATGGTGAAAAATTAAAAGTTTCGAAAAAATAATTTAAAAAAAGTTATTTTTTTCTTATTTAAGTATTATTATTTATTTATTTATTATTATTTTTATCAATATTATTATTATTATTATTATCACAATATTAAAATTTTATTGAAAATTAATTTCTATAATAAATAAAATGAAAATAAAAAAAAAATTAACAAAGAACAAATTAAATGTAATCAGTAATTAATTAGAATTTTCTTTTAGTCTCTTTAGGTTGGTGGGTAGAGAGAAGGGGGGGAGGGGTTAAGGTAGAAGTTGAAAAATGGAAATGAAGAGAGAAGAACAAAGGAGCTTTTGGTTCATTTAGGAGCCCCAGTATACTTTCTACGAACTAATTTTTGTGTACACAGTAGCCCGCTTTTTCATTCTCGCCTACAAATGAGTCTTGCAAATGGACTCGCAACATCACATATATACAGGACCATGAACTAGTTTTTTCTTTTTTTTCATGCGCTTTCAGAAATAACTTCAAAATATCATACACCGTCAAAGTTTCCAACTTTTTTTTTTTTAGGGACAAAACACCAACAACAAAAAAAAAGAGTAAGCAAATATACATTTGTCACAAAAAAAACAAATTTTTTTATAATTCTTCATTGGATAATGAACTACACGTATGTCAATATTGAGAAAATTAATATTTTTAAATTATACATTTCAAATAACAAAAAACGGCGTTGTTTACAAGAATTTTTATTATCAAACATTTAGAAAGAAAAGCGTATTTAATATTTAGACACGCCCACAAAAAAGGGCGTAACTTATTTTAAGACCGCTCTTATTTAAGGGGTGGCTTCACCAAAATCCCATAAAAGGCGTGGTTTATTGTAACTCCACCCACTTTAAGTTTGTCTCCAAGAAAATCCCGCCCAGATTTAGGCGTGAAAAAATAGACACACCCACAAAAAGGGCGTGGCTTAGTTTGACTCCGCCCCAATTTTAGGTAGGGCTTTATTAAACTCCTATAAAGGGCGTGATTTACTCCAACTCCACCAACTTGGCGGGATTTAGATACAATACCCGCCCAATTTTAGGCGTGCCTTATATAAACACGCCTAAAATGTTACAAAATTTATTTTTACTCCGCCCCTATTTTAGGCGTGGCTTAATAAAACTTCAATAAGGGATGTTATTGTAACTCCAGCCACTTTGGGTTTGGTTGCAAAAAAATTCCACCCATATTTAGGCGTGACAAAAAATAGACACGTACACAAAAGGGCGTGACTTATTTTTAGTCCGCCCCTATTTAAGGTATGGCTTTATCAAATTTTAATAAGAGGCGTGGTTTAGTATAATTGCATCCACTTGGGAGCAGTTTTGATACAATATCCGCCTAATTTACAAATTAACATAAAAAGGCACGCCCAAAGAGTAACACGATGTATTGTGGCTCGACCTACTTGTCGCCCCCAATAGGGTCGTCGTTTTGTTATAATTCCGCCCTCTTTGGAATTTTAATACAAGTAAGGTCTGCCTATTTTGTGGTGTAACTTAATTAAACACGCCTACAGGGGGCGTGGTTTATCGTTGACTCCACCTACTTAAAGGTGCAAAAATTGTTAACCACGCAGAGGCGTGGTTTTTTAGCTCCGCCTACTTTTGGGCGTGACAAAAATTTGTTTACTTGTTAGGTCACAAAAGGGCGGGGTTTATCGCTGAACCACCTACTTGTAGGCGTGTCAAAGAAAATAGGCACACAAAGGGGTGTGGTTTAATGTGGCTCTCCGCCTACTTTTATCCATGGAAAAAAGTAGTTAAATACGCAAAGAGGCGTGGTTTTTTTTAGCTCCGCCTACTTTTGGGAGTAGAAATTTTTTTGTATTGTTAGCCACACAAAGGAGCGGGGTTTATCGCGGAACCACATACTTCTAGGCGTGTCAAAATAAATAGGACACAAACGGGTGTGGTTTAATATGGCTCTCCGCCTACTTTTAGCCATTGAAAAAAATAGTTAAATACGCAAAGAGGCGTGGTTTCTTTTAGCTCCGCCTACTTTTGGGCGTAGAAAATTTTTTGTATTGTTAGCCATACAAAGGGGCGGGGTTTATCGCGGAACCACATACTTCTAGGCGTGTCAAAAAAAATTGTTAGCCACACAAAGGCGTGTTGTTGAATGTGGCATCGCCTTCTTCTAGACGTGGCAACAAAAAAAATTTTATCTAGATGCAGTTTTATGACTTTATTTCCATTGATTTCGTTTCTTTCTTTGTTTTCGAAGGATACTGGAGGATTGAAACTATATAAGGTTTTCTTTCTTTCTTTCTTTCTTTTTGTTCATCCACCCTAATGTTTGTCAAGTCAGCAGGCACAATTTTATGGAAAGATTTTTCAAACAGGGTCGAACGCCATACTTACTATATATATATATATATATATATATGAGACGAGTATTTACACAAAGAATTCCCCCGATTCTTTGGGGTATTTTTCCATCTCCCTCTCTTGTATGTATGAAGAGCATTTCGAGGAAAGCTGTCAATTTTCTTAAGGAAAAGTTTGTCTTTTTTCAAAGTCGAGAAGCACACAAGTGTTATTGGGATGAAAATGGAGTGTGTATGTGAAGGATAATATAAACTTGGAATATTTTTTTTTGGGATGAGAGGGGGAAGAATTTTTTTTTTTATATAGGATGAAGAAAATTCTTATTTGAAAAAAAATTCTTATCATTCATAAATTCTAATGATATTTTTTAATTTAATTTGATTTAATCTTTTAATAAAAATAAATTTTTCATTTGTCATTGATCTCTCTTTCTCTCTCTCTTCATTTATCCGACTCTCAGGAGGCATATTCTAATTAAATCAGGTCTTAACGAACATAATCTATCTCTGCTCCTTCTATAAATGTGTTTCTAATCTTGACATAGAGAAGCTAATCTAGAGTTGCCACTCTAAGACGATTAACTAATGTTGCAACATGTACCAATCTGTTTGCTTATGCGCGTTTACTGTTTACATTGTTTCACTTCCACATTTCTCTTTAATTTTTTTTAAAAATAGCATAATTTTAAGATTTTTATTTATTTATTTTTTTTATAAATATTTTTTGTTAAATATAAAAAAAATTCTTGAAAAAAAAGTTTTAGGAATTTTTTTTCCATCTCTTTTGTAACTCTCGTCTATTTATGATTAGCAGAGTTGGTTATAATCTTAAAAATAAATCGAATCTATGTAAACATTGATATTGCATTCATTCTATTTTTCAAAAAGAAAAAAACTGATTTACATT